TAGAATTACAATTTCTGTACTTATTAAATTAACCTGGGCACCTATTGTACCCTGATTGTATGCATTACATAGTGTAATTATTTGCTTGAGTAGATATAGGATGTATTGTGTAGGAGGTCTTTGACTTTTCTTCTGCATGGCCATAAAGTCCCTCTCTGGCATTCAAAAATCTCAACTTTAAACTTAACTGATGCCGAAAAACTAAAGTTCCTTTGTTGTTCTTTTAGCATTCTACATTTTTAATTCCCCCCTTATGTGTAATCTCACTAATATCATCCTGCCTTTGAATAATTACCACTTTCCCCTCAGTAGAAAACATGCTTCAAATTCAAAGTCAGACAGACTCATGTGACTTATGGATATATACTTTATTTTGCTACTGTGATAAGTGATAACATTCTATCAGAAATACAAAAACATAAATCAGTTTTCTATACCCGTGTGGTATTTCCTCACTCTTAACATGACGGCTGCAGAGGTAGTGGAAGGACTGACACAATCTCATAAACGGTTTAATGCCATACAGTAATAGTTGTCCTGATGAGAAAGCACACAGTATATCTGCTACTGGAAGGACATAATGGACTGAGTTCACTGCTGAGACCAACTACAGTACTGAGGTCCAAACGTGAACACAACTGTCCTCCAATGTGTTCATACACAGAAATATTTACATCCTCCATTATGTGGTCAAAGCCCAATTAAAACAATATATAGCAAATACTGACAAAGACTAAATAATCTATAAATAATTAGACTATATGGTGTTACAGCTTATTGATCATTTGACGTAAAGGAGTGACTTTTGGATGAGTAGATACATAAGGTGATTATTTACAAAAAATGATAGACTGCAATGGTTTGTAAACATACAAACAGTAGGAGCAAGGACAGAAACTGAACACAATACCTCTGGTCAGTATTGCACAATAAGGCACAGTAAGCTTAACAGCCAGAGTCCTTCAGCCTCCCAGTAGCAAACCACCTTGTATACAATCAACACCATAACCTGCCGATCTTCTTACCACATCAGTATACAAAAAAAAAAGAAAAAAGAAAAATGGAAGTTTGTTCAAGAAGTTGCACGATTTGGTTCTGCAGAAGGGATTTTGTTAAGTTATGGGACACTGAAATGGAGGCAGAAATGGTCCCATTGGCTCAGCGGGCAGAGATTTGCTTTTTTTTTTTCACCTTGGTTTTTAAAATGAGTTTTGAATGTGAAAATCCTGAATTCAAAATAAACTTTTGAAAATTAAAATTTCCCAAAATCCTGATGAAAATAAAAACAATAAATTTTCTCAAAGTACATTCATGTCTAGATCACATAATTCAGGGTCAAAACAAAATTTAAATTAAGAACAAATATTTAAAATGAATTCAGCTAGTGGCAGAACACCACACTTACTCTATTGAGTTTCACTCCACAGGAACGAAAATGTTTTCTCTTATCGGTCTTTTAATGTTTAATTCACCCAATTTCTGCCTCATGACTGAAACTGTAAGAAACTCCAATCTGCTGTCATTACTATTGGCTTGAGACAGTGCTAGCTGCTACTGTAAGTGCGTTTTACTTGACAACTGCATGATGTAACCCAAAAGGAAACTGAAGAGACATCCCTTCTCTCTCTTACTCTAAAACCTCAATATTCTGCATTCCATCAGAAAAACAATGTTATATCTTCAGCTTGCATATCCTTTTTTTAACACTTATGTGTGCTTACAGAAATAATACAGTAGGGTGAAAGTTTTTAATATTCATTTCAATATAAACTCTGTTAATTTGGTCTTCAGCAAACCACAAAATAAACCTGTTTCTAAATATATACTGCACACATAAAAAGAAAGAAATACAATATATATGAGATGCTAACAATATAATTAATAAGGCTATCGGTGCATGTCAAATTTAAACAATTATCTGTATTTGAATTAAATCATTACAACTTATTTCCTTTTGTTCTTAAAATAAACATTATGAACCAACAATAGAAATGTATTGCTTAAAGTTGAACAAATTTCACCATGGTTTTTCAGTACAGTACAGAGAATACCATCAAATTCCAAGCTTGTATATTATGGCTAGCCTCCCTATTAGCAGAGAACAATTAATGTGAATATGTTTGCAGGCCTCAGGGGATACATCTATAAAGCATTTCACAAGAACAGTTATAAAGAAAAGAAAAGAAACACAATTGTGTGATGCAGATGATATTTTTGATTCATTCCCATCTTGCTAATCATCTACTGAACCCTAAGATTTGTCCTGCGACCCTTTTGGGGGTCCTGGGAACCGCTGCTTTGGACCATTCCAGATGCAGCAGTTCTTGCTGCACGCTTCCTGGACTATTGCTGTTATCTCTGACGTGTCTACACGAGGAATTACCTTTTCTTTTTACTGAATATAGACAAAAACATGGAGAATAAAAAAAATGAAATTCAATGGTATTCCCCTGGTGCATCAAAACATTACAAGGTTGTGTATTGTTCCATTTGTATTCTTTAACATAACACAAAGAAATTATGTTCATTCTGACAAAGCCTCCACCAAAAAACAAGAAAAGTACATTGAAAAAACCTGAAACCTTGCTTGGTGTTGGTCAAAATGTAATTCATGCAAATTAATGTGTTCCCCTGTTGAAAGGGAAGCTTGGCTTTCTTTACCATTTGGTCTAGGACGTTTGAAACCAGCAGGGGGCAGTGTTATTTGGTAGAAAGTGGTGTACAGCAGTCTATTACCCTCATTGAGAGTCATCATGTACAATGACCATAGTGATTTCAGTGAAAGACAGTAGGCCTCGTTTCCACTAATGGAGTGAAAGCAGGATAAGTTAACATTCATAAGGTGTTAATGTTATTCGTTAATCAAAGCTATGAGGATGGTGTAGAGATGTCAATATAAAAATACTGCACTAAGTGCATTATGGGAGACTGAATAGCTAAGCAAACTGTCCACATGTTGCCGTGGCTGCAGTCAAAAACCAAGACTAGCTCATCTCAAAATGGAAATATTGAAACCAGGTCCAAAAGCAAGCTCAAAGAAGTCAAGTGTGCAAAATCTTTCTAAATGATCTTATTAACAATAAATGGCATAGCAAATATTCTCGACAACGTTGCATTGATAGCCTCAGAATTCATCCAGCAGATTTCTCCGGTTCCACCATAAACCAGAGAGTACATAGTGTTTGGTTGTAATGAGTCTTGGGTGGAAACGCTATGGATTGAGAGCCGCTGCTACACAGCTGGACATCCATTTTCATGACTGTGAACACACATTCAGCTATTCAAAGCATGACAAAAAAGCACAATAACATTGTTCTTTGTTCATGATTGCTTTGAAAAATTACATTTGTTATTAAAATGTGTTTGGCTTTGTTAGGACATATGAGACAGGACACCGTTTTCTCAGCATTTGAGACCAAAGCTTGAAATGAAAAGCGATCAACACCACCGCAGGATGGCATTTACAAAAACTATCACATGGAATGGATAGAATATTGAACAATATTGACATTTACAACAACATTTAGATTGTTACATGATATGTCCATCCAGAACACATTACGAACGGTAGCATTCATTAATTAGTAGTATCATTAGTAGTCCTTCAGATGTTTTAACATACTGGTGTGGATGTTAGTGAATTAGTTAATGGAGAGACTACACAGAACATTACTTAATCTGATAGCTGTAACATTTCAACATTTACAGATGTGTTAGGAAAGAAACGGATCAGATTACACAGCTTTCTTGTGACTTTTAAAGTTAATCACAGCAATAAAAGTGGGTCACATTTAACACAAAGGTTTATCAGCTTTGTATAATACTATCAAGTATTCTCTGTACAACTCCCCTGCATTCATTACATTACATTTAAGGCAATGTATCATAGAATGGACTGTCACACTGGCCACAAGACATACATTTACATGTATATCTGCATTAAAATATGAGAGATTATATTGCTCATGGGCTCTATATGTAGAAAAACCACTATTATGCAGATGGTTTTTGGTCATTAATACCTTATTAAGGCCCACAGAGGAAATTACATTCAACCATAATTAAATTCAGTGAATTGCAGCAGTTTTATAAAGATGTTTGGGGTGAAGTATGGCCATTTCTCTTTTAGTGCAGCATACTGTATATGAGTGCAATATGGAACAATAGACGAGTCACAGGAAGCATTTCATGACTTGATCAAAAGTAATAAAGTGGGACATTTGTGCAGGTTTTACCACACAACATTACAGTGCTCAGGCGGGCAGCATAATACACGGGCACCAGCGTCACCAGCTGTGAACACATCTGTTCTTTATTTATGAAAGTGGGAATTTTAGGGCACCCAATTGCCATATTAACCACAGCGCAATTAGGATTTTGCGTTCTTGCTTGACACGTATCAACAGATGGATCAACCATTTCCAGTGCACTGGGATTGCTAACGCTGCATTCACACTGCGAGCAACACAATCAACAAGTCATCAGGAGTTTTTGCTTCCTATAGCGCTGACCAACCAGGGAAAAATCAGCCAAACTTTTTAGACTTTTTATGCTTTTTAGGCGTAACAGCTGCCAGATTTAAGCTCCTCTTTTGTTCCCCATTGGTTTGATTCACGAATATTAGCATAAAATAGGAGCAGTTGATTCTAGCCTTTCAAAGTGGCCCAGTTCTTCACAACTTTGATGTGAAAGTACTAGAAGAGGCATCTTAAAAGCTGGATGCCTGGGGAATGGGTGTATTCATTATTATGATCAATAATAATAGTTTAGTAGTTTAGTTAGTTTTCTACACCAACAAATGGTACATTCAGAGCCTCTAACTGTCCATAATCTGTCCAACTGCAATTTATACACCAAGTTACTCATTGTGTGAATGCTCAGTTAGGGATCAGTGTCACTCAAAACTTCACCAAGAACGAACACTGACTGTTGATAGCATCAAACCAGTGACCTTTCACTGGCATTAAGGTCCTTCTGGCCACCAAGAAATTCTTTTTTTAAACAGAACCTTTGATCGTTTAGCAAGACGTCATTGTGTTGTGAAGAGGACAGATTTTATTTTGAACATGAGTTCAGTTTGCTGGTGCTGTTGGAACAGTGCTGATGCTGCATTCACGTCATATCGGAAGACAAAGTAGGAAAAACGGAAGGACGCTTGTTTCTATAGCGTGGAATATATTAACTCTTTGTAACACACAAATATAACTATAATCAACCACAAACAAACTGCAGCCGATAATACTTTTCTTAATGAGAGCTGATTGTCTGACTGTGAATTTCATTAATTTTCTAATTATCTGCCAACATCTGTGGCTTTGCTGCTGTTAGTTCTCAGTTGACACAATTTTGGATACATTCTTCCTATAATCTCACATCCTGATCGTAACTGCCACTAGGTGCCATGAATGTACTTTCCCCAGTTGCAGTCTTGTATTTACAGTAAATCCGATATGAGGTGAACGTGGCAAAAAAGAAAATACAGTTATTAGTACACTGTTTTCCCATTTACTGACTTTTAGCTTCTTCACATGCATAAACTAGCTTACACTTTTCTCTCTGGTTAGTATTTCTGTTACAGTCACAGCTGATGCTCTTTGACAAACAGACATTACGCCTCACAGCTTCCTACAACACAGTTGTTGCTTTGGCAGTTAGTTTTAGCAGAGGACCCCAGATAGAGCCTGGTGGAACACCGAGAGGGACCTCTTGGCTTGGAGCTCAATTTGATTGTAGCGGAGGGTGTTGTAAAGGTTGCCACGGAGGTGAAGGTGAGCTGTTGGCAGAGCAGAAGGATCTAGATGTTGGTTTCCCGCTGCATAGGTTCCTCTTCTTTTTGACATTTGTCGCCCAGCTTCTCTGACACCTGGGTTTCCCCATCGGCCTCCTTCTGATCCTGAACATGGTCAGGATCTTCTGTCTCAGTCCGTTTGTACATCTCTGCAGCCTTGCGCTCACGGTCCAAGAGTCTGTAGTTAATGAAGTTTCCAATAAAGAGCCAAATACTTGCCAAAATCACGACAGCTCCACAGCAAAAATACATGTACTTGTAGTTTTTTGTGACATCGACCAGTTTCCCTGTAAGACAGCACAAGGTTTTTAAATGTTTAATCTGCACAGATATGAAATCTTATGAAAGTATTGCCAAGTATAATTAGGACATAATTTTCATGTTCAGTGGGAACTCTTATCAATTCCATTTGAATAAATATTTTTAAGAAATCAGTTCATTTCAATGGATTCACTTGCAGGGGGTGAATTAAGTCCAATTCTATTGCATTAACTTTGATGAACTTAAGATGACCTACAATCTCGACATTTCTGACCTTCAAGGGAGCAGAGGGATGTAGAGCCCAAAACAAGAGAAACTATCATACCTTATTATTTGTGTTGTAATAATTCACTTATATTAATTTATATTACATTCTACCAGAGTGTAAAATTTTCGAGGCAGGGTTTGTGGACAGTTATGAGACAAAAGTCAGTGGTACAAATATGTTACATATTGTCTAACATATGTTAGCAATCAAGGTAGCTCACGGGGCTTTTGTGAATGACGAGTACTAGTGTATTTATGGGTGCCTACCATGTTAGCAGTTAGCTCACCACCAGTCACTACCTTCTAAAACCACTGTACATTTCTGGTGTAACTGGGCCTTAATAATGTTGTGGATTTAATTCACTGAGTCTAATGGCCAGAACTATTAAGAACACTTAAACAAACTGTACATGTAAGTAAATTAAATATGCTCTCAGACAGATCGTACCTGCTAGAGGTGGACCAATGAGGACCGGGCAGCACTCCACAATGGTAGTGAGTCCCACAGCACTGGAGAACCTCTGAGGCCCAACCAGGTCCATCAGTGTTTCAAACAGCACTGAGCTGACCATGCCAAAGGCAAAGCCGAAGAACATAGCATACACCACCAGACCAGTGTAGCTTTCCACCAGTGGGCAGAGGATGTGGCACACCCCATTGTACAGCACAGCAAAGCTGAAGAAGTACTGGATCTTCGGCCGGACCCAGCGCGAGTTGGCCAATAGCCCCATGGAGGGCCTAGCAAACATGTCAACGAAAGCCAGAATTGAGAGAAGGAAGGCAGCTGAGTACTCATCCACACCCATGTCCTTAGCATAGGCTGTGAGGAAGACAATAGGTGCAAAGAAGCCCAGGAACATGATGACATTGCCTGACAGGTAAATGAGGAAGCCGCGATGCTTGAAGAGTGTCAAGTCCAGGTATTTGTTGACTGTTTGCCAGGCACTGCGCTTCTCTTTTGTTGTGGTGGTAATGACTGCTAACTCTTCGTCTTTCTTGATCTTGCCGGGTGGTGGTCCCAGAGGTCTCATGAGGGAACCAGCCACACAGCAGTTCAGCAGCAGGCCGCCCAGGATGAGGAAGCTGCCTCTCCAGCCAAACTGGTTGAAGAGGTACTGGTTGAGAGGAGCCAGGGTACTGAGGAACACCGGACTGCCTGCCATCGCCAGCCCGTTAGCAATGGGACGCTTCTTATAGAAGTATTTGCCTATCATGGTCAGTGCTGGCTGCAGGTTGAAGGCTAGTCCAAGTCCTATGAGGAAAGAGGACAGATTAGATCAAATTAGACTTGTAACGCTACAATGCTACAACTGTACCAGTACTAAAAGCAGGATTTATTTTACTTCTTACTCACCTAAATAAGAAACCAATTATGTCTGATACGTGGGTACTGCTAGTGATTGTCCAATACTCTGGTTGATGACCAAACACTAAACACTAATTAGGAATGTTAGCATGCTAACATGCTAAACTAAGATGGTGAAAAAGGTAAAGAGAACCATTTTAGAAATGAACAAAATTTGGACATTTGTAGATTCTGGACTGGATGCCTTTTTGGGGGTTTTAATGTGGAAACGTTTTTGCAGAAAGACAAGCGGACCTTTGTACATACATCCTAATATATGTCTGGAAGGGATATTTAATTAATGGTAGCCTACATAATCCCACACACATCCCAATAATGTAGTAGGGGGCACCAAAAAGCTGTGGATTTGATAGTTATACTGTATTTACTGTATCTAAAATATTTGATGAAGCCCAATAAAGGGAAATGTCAGCCTTCATGAAGGAACAAAAACATTTTGGTGGAGGTAGCCTGCTAATTATCCAAGAGAAAATTGCAAGTAAGCATATAAAATTATGTTACACATAGCATAGCATCGTAAAATTAAGGCAATGAACCAAAATAGATAGAAAAACAAAGCCAATGTTCTTCCTGCTACAACAGTTTTATTTTTAACCTGCTACTTAGAAGTAGAGGTTAATCAAATTAACTCAAAATGGACTTGAGTGGATTTAAATGGACTTACCGCCAATAAGTCCTATGCAGAGGTAAAGCTGCAACACACTGGTGCAGAAGGAAGCTAAGATCATGCCAGTGGCACAGAGGCAGCCCCCCATCATGACAATGGGCCTGCAGCCGTATGTGTTGACCAGTATACTGCTGATGGGACCTGGAACAAATGGAAAACATTAAATCAACCCACATATGTCAGATGTTTACAGTAGTCAGGATCACTGAAAGTGAGTGCATAATGATTTAATCTGGTTAGTGCTGCACACCAACGGGAGCCCAGCTTCTATTAATAGCAGCAACTGGGCTGTTTCAATTTTTGAACACGGCACTCCCATCACCTCGTCAAATCAGTTTAAGAGAGGTAAGTGACAGTGTGGGGAATGAGAAAACACTTCCATATATAAGAGTGTGATTTTTCTGTTCTACATGATGTTTTCTAACATGCATGGAAAAATAAAAGTTCAAGTGTGTCAAGTTATATTTTATCCTCCAGCCTGTGTTTTCAGCTGCATAATGTGCAAAGGAGATTCACAATACATTTCATTCACAAGCCAAAATAGAGCAAATGACAAAACACATTCTTATTTCTGTAAAGTGTTGAGTATGTAGTGTTTATATTCAGGCAGCTGCAAAGCTGTAAGATATTTTTGCCAATCTCTTGTCACTGCAGCCAGCAGAAAAAGTCTTAAATGAGGTTAATTAGGTTGAAACCAAATCCTCAGTTTAACCATATTATCTAAATGACTTAATTAGATGTGAAAACAAAGGTCAATTGTAATATTGTTAACCAAACTGTCCATAGTAAATGTCCATTAGGCCCTGGTTCAACTGCAATTGTTGATTTATTTTGTTTTCACTGACAGAAAATTTAGTTTTGATAATCTGGTAAACCAGGGTTTACCAGATCAAAGCCTATTTGATCATCAAATTTCAGAATATCAGAAGTCCAATATTCACTCAACTAAATGCTTCACAAGCTGGTTGCTAATTTTGTCAGTGTGCTGTTCAGTCACACTGGGTTTGTCATTATTTGTTATCATTTGTCATGTCAGTTTATTTTCGCTCACTGCTGCTGGAAAAAAGGTGGTGAGAGTGGTGAGACTAAACAACAACACTAAAAGCCAAAACAAAGAGCTGAAAGGCGTTACAACCTTCTGTTAAGCGAACACAGTTTTTTTCTGTTGGTTCATCACTATGAGCCACATCTTTGACATGACGTAATGTGTTAATAGTATATTTTGACCACAAGGGGTTTTATTGTTGTAGTATGCCTCGAAAAAATGCCTACGAGAGCCGAGAAAAGATGGCTGTGGTAGCCGAGACAGTAACATGTAGCAGTGAAATTCACAAAAAAAAGTTCACAAAAGAATTTAAATACTTTTTTGCTGTGGTGGAGTTTGAGTTCGGAACTTTACAATGACATACGGATTTGTGTCATTGTTAATATAAAAAAATCCATTAGTGCAGCTTTAAAATGTTAGCATGACTCGTAGGGATGACAACGACATGCATTTGTTGTGATTGAAATTCAGCACTGCCCACATTAAAAGCAGCCACAGAATACATAATGCACAGAAAGAGCATTCCCATTCAAATGACAATGATAGGGCAAGTTTCCTCTACTAATGACTCATCTGTATTCTCAGTTATCACTGTCAATGTTCAGTCTTCTAATAAGGTGAATCATGGGGTGAGTAGGCTTGTTTTTATTACTAGGACTCTTAATATATTAATTTTTTTTACTTATGACTCTACTTTACTTTGTGTTCTATTGTTTACATTTTTCCACTTCAGGTATATCTTTTATATATCTTGGTACATACAGTAATATCTTATAAATAATGTAGCTATTCAAAGCACTTTTTAAGAATCTGCATATCTTCTAATTGACACCTTCTCCCATCCCTTTGTTGAATTTCAAGTACAGGAGGTGTAAATCGAATAGGGAGAGAGAGAAGTAATGAAAGATGTATTTTTAAAAAAATAATGCTCTCATTACCAGCCAGAAGATGTATGATATTTCTGCCAGGCCCAGCGCAATTTAAAAAGCCACAACGGGCGAGGAGTCATCTGACTTAATTTGCTCTGCATGAATCTTTTTTCGACCTTGAGGAAAGTTCCCCTCATTTGCATCCACAGCAGTGATCAGTATTCTCGGGGGCTCGGCGGGACCAGAATCGGCTGAGTTGAGGAAGCCCCTGAGCCTGCACATTACCTCCCTTGAAAAAGGCTTATCATCTCCTGGCCAGACACAGCGCGGACTTCATTACACAGTGGACAAAACCCCAAACTAAATATAACCACCTAGATCCCAAAAGGGAATGACACATATAGAAATGTGTCTAACAGTTTTCTCCACGACCCTTTAATGTCAGCTGCGGCGAAGAGGCTAGTACAGCTCATGATGTGAGGATGCGGGCTATCCATCACACTTCAAATAGGATAAAGTCGACAGAAATGGAAGCAAACAACATTTAAAAGAGGACACGGACATGGTTTTCTGAAGTGACTGTGTCTCGCTGCCCAGCCATTTTGCAGATATTTACAGGGACACAATGAAGGGTAAACCAGCCTAAGCCCAGTTTATGTATGTGATAAAACTTTATACATATTTTCAGGTTGACACAAGGCTTTGAGGTAAAGTTTAGAGCTGTGCGACAGTAAACAGCATGACACTGGATGACGTTAACCAGGTGGCCTGAAGGTGGACTAGTGGACTAGTGACAGGAAGGTAAGACTGGCCAGATAAACCTGGGTGGGAAATGTTACCATCACTGAGAGCTGCTTGAGTGCCTGTTTGCACCATGGGTCAGAGAGGACTGAAATTTCATCTATGCTGTATGTCGTGCATAGTATAGCTACTTGAATAAAGTTGACTTGACTTGAACAAAGCCCTTTCCAGTGGAGCTGGTCAGTGGCTGTACACGTTGGAAGATGATTTGAGTTTGCAGTACCGTTGATTCAGCTCAATGACACTCTCTAGCCAGTTACAACTTTGTAACCTACAACTAAACTGTCATTTTACCATGCAAGAACATCATCTCTCGTTGGAGCACACATTGTGCAGGCGTATTTCTCGTTGGATTTCAGAGCGCGATTCAACGCAATGCAACTAACTAACTTACCCTAATCCTAACCCAACTGCAACAGTGTTGCAATCAAACACCCGATTTTGATTGAATCATTTTAATATTGTTAGTTAAATAATTGTTCAGAACAGAAATATTTTTTTGATTTGTAGGGATGTAACGATACAATCAACTCGGGATTCGACACAATCCAAGATACTAGGTTCAGACTTAAAGACGGTAAGATTTTCTCACGATTTTGTTTAACAATATGAGACTGAAACAAATTATGACTAAAAAATATTTCTATATTTCTCAGACAAAAACATTCAAAATATATTTTCTTTATCAAATTGAATACTTTTTTATTTCTGCCGTAGGGTATAAACTGTGCAAAACAATGCATATTTCCCACCAACTACAGAAAACAGCCAAACAGGATGGTGCATCCTCAGTTAAATTCTGGCTTTACCTGCAGCTGCCATGTCTTTGTGCTTTGGTACAGCTTCTGATGCAAGTGATATAGGAAGACAGAAGTAGATAGCGCCCTCTGCTGTTTAACAAGAGTATCATGATTAATTATTCATCTCACTGATTTGAATCTTGAATATTTATAACGCAATTTAACTGTCTTGCGAAATATTGTTACATCCCTATTCACTTAGCACCCCACTTCTGACACTGCTTCAGTAGCCAGCAGATCAGACTGTGGTTGTACCGGCAGTTTCCAAGCGTGAATGTGTGCAACTGAGACAGACTTAGACAGAGAGCAATGCTCTCAGAGAAACATCTGAATAAATAAAGTAATAATCAGGCTCTATGAAATTACACATTGGCACACTGAAAAGTAAACTTCAGTGTGCCCCCAAAAAGAAAAAATAATTCCTCATATCACTGCTGTTATCTAACCACAGTTTTTGTTTTGTGTTACTGGTTTTGAGATTTCTCCGAGGGGAGTAGAAAAATTTTATTACAACTTGCATGCAGTAAAACCAACCTGTAAACAACACTGACACATTGTCGAGAGTTGATATGGTGGACTTATTAGCAAAGAGCTGCTTATTTACACATCCAGCAGACACAGACCAACATTAGCATTCATTTGGAGTCATGTTGGAATGTAGGTCTAATATTTACTTTCATTTTAGCTCCATTTTGCACTCTGCCAACTCCTGAGGGGAAAATTATGTCTGTCTGGCTGCTAAATGTTCCAATGTTCACCAGCTACTCGCTAACTGTTTAGAGCCTTTTCACGGGCAACTGCTGCAGCCAAAAATGGTGTTAATGAGAACGTAGAGGATGAATACTATACTGAAAGATGCTTAAAAGGCCCATATACATGAGTGGAACTGCAGCTCTAAATGTTTTTCTGGGAACAATCTCTCCATTACTCTGGACAATCCACAAACATTTTTCATTTCAACGACTTTTTAAGAAATATTCCCTATGCAACCTGTTACACATTGCTTTATGGATTATCCCATCTACTGTAACATGCACACAGGAAGACTGCAGGAGTGCTCAATCAGTTTCACATGCAGTAAATCCTGGGAACCTCAAGGTGCTCTTGAAGTGGAAAAGACTTCACATTTAAGAAAACGTTCTTCAGGGATTTTTAGGCAGAGCAGAGAGAAAAATGCTGTTAAAGGCCTTTATTTAGTCAAGCATAAAACACAGACTGGTTTTTCATCAGGGTGGAAATAAAAACTAATGACACCTGGTACTAAAAGTACAAGTGTACATGTTTGCTACCGTTTACTTGGCATCCTGCCTACCAGTCTTTATGACTCACAGTTAATGTAACACAGGTGCGCACTGTTTCCACGCTACCTTGACCAAGGTCAAGTCTGTGTGTGTGTGTGTGTG